TTACTAAGAACTGTCAAAACAAGTTTGCTCGTTCCATTACACTAGTGAGGTTAAGCTATGTGACTTATCCTAAGCGTCGAGTTGGCATAGGTTGGGTACTAACAAATTTGCTAAATATATTTTTTTCTCACTTGTCTTTCTATCATAATCTGTACATTATTTGTCAACATAATTGAATATGGCTTCATCATATCATATTATGAAATATGAATAGTGTTGCTAAAATGTCTGTTGCCAAAATATTGCATTTCACCACAACTAATATTCAGTACTTGAGAATTGAAATAGTTAGTTGGTTACTGCTTATTTTTCTGGTTGCTACGGAATCCAATACTTCAAACAAATTATTGTTGTTTCATTATTATCCATGTTTTTGACCTTTCACCTTTTTTGACATTTGACTTTCATCCAGATATACTTGAGCATTACTCTCGTATTACTGGAATGATGATGTATTTATTATATAGATAAAGATTTTCCTAAAATTTTCAGAAATGAACATGATATAATATAATGATATGCCGGAGGACTTCCCCTTCTGATAGAGGAAACATGGGAAATAATTGAAATATAAGATTGGCGATAACCTATCATGGTGGTTAATTACCAGGCCAAGGTATGCGTTGTAGCAACAAAGCTTTCATCATTGGCCAGTGCCATTACATTTTCGATATCATAGAATATCTCTCACTGGCTGCGAAATCGATGTCGTTTTTCAAGATAGGACTACATACGTACATATAAAAATACAGTATACTATATGAATTAGATTGTTGTAAACTGCTTGTCTGAGGAAGTCTGACTCTGGTCGGACGAAACGTTACAGAAATACATTTGTGTTAGTGTGCAGCTGGACTCTTTAATTGAATAGAATAGTCATGTTTATTCCAGCTACAGTATCCTTGCAGTATACGCATACGGATCCACTAGCATAAAGGCATAGGGAAAAGATAGGAAGTTAGTCTCGCGCAACCCAACTCAAATTTATGAATTTTTTTAGAGTTCAACAAATCGTTTTTGATGTAAATTGAGTATATTATTGATCCATAACTTTTGGCATATTTTTTCCAAATATATGTTTGTATTTATGTTTATACTCACGCATCTACATAGCATCTATTACGTATCAGCTGCTGAATCTTTTCAAATTCCCGAAAAATATTTGTTAGGGTTTTGAATGCGGAAACAGTTCTTCGAAAATTTGAGTCTCCTTTTATTGCGTTAATAACTGATAAACCTATTTTCATACTTGTCGCGCTATAATGTGACTTTTAGACAAATATCGATCACACCAAACTCTTCCACCAGATATGTCTTCAATGTTACGTAAGATATCTTATTTTTAAACAACTTCTTAAATGCAGTTTAATTTGAAAATCTTGAAAACTAAGTTAGCCCTTTATATACGCATGTTTCATGGGTACGAAGTGTACCAGGCTTATATTGGCTTATTGCTGTTACGATTTTCCCCACATCAAAGGGACTCGATATTTCACCCCGAAATTTTATATTTATTATTGTTACGCAATTTTCTTCACGACAAGTGAACCAATAGATTCAGTACTTGAAGATGCAAAAAGAAGCAAGTCACAGTTTCATTTTCTGAGCCCCAACGGACTCGATATTTCACCCCAAATTTTTCCATTTACGCATATCTATATGTTTTTTGAAGTCCTGAGTCCTGTTTTTACTGAACACTACAATCAGGGATGGCCAATACCGAATAGTTCACTATTTCGAATACATTCGAAATTATTTTTTTCGAATATGAAATTTCGAATACTTCGAAAATAAAATCCACTAATTGAAGCTTATCTAAATATGTAGGAATTTCCATACAATAAGCAATGGAATAACTGCTATCTAGAAGTTACAACCTAGCTTTATTACCAGGCATTTCATATTCCAGTATATATTTTATATACCATGAGTCATGTTAACAGAATTAAATTAATACGGCAATAGTGGTATCGGTGATGGATTTGAATATTTGCGCAACACAAAATCATCCTAGTGAAACGCCCATACTCTTAATTAAACACCAACCATTATCCAAATTATTTGCCGATAAGCGGGATAAAGTATGAGTTATTTTGGTTATTGTGAGTACAAAAATGCGAATCAAAAATTAATTATATTCGGGAACTATACCACACATTTTAAGTCCGCAGATCTCCGTTGTATGTTTGAGTAATAATACTTTTATTGTTTTATAAATAGGAATCAAAAACTATTTATAATCGGGTAGTTTATCACACATTCTAAGTTCACAGATCGCCGTTGTATTTTGTAAATACGAAAATAGGAATCAAAAATTAATATTAATCGCGAGTTTGCCACACAATTTATGTCCACAGATTGCCATGATATTGTGCCGAATATAATTAGTTTTTAATTCTTATTTTCGTACTCACGAAAAAATAGTCACACGTTGGAAAATAATTTATACTTTATCCCGCATTTTGGGAACTAATTTGGATAATGGTTGCCATTGGTTTGTATTTAAAAGTATGGACTTTTTACTAGGATGATTTTGTGCTGCGCAAAATATTCGAATCCATGACCGATACCTCTATTTGAAATGCCTTACCGTGTTAATTTAATTCTATTATCATAACTCAAATGTTGGTAAATCGGGCAGTTTACCACACATTTTAAGGCCACAGATCGCCGTTGCATTTTAGAAATATAGTTTTATTATTTTGTAAATACGAATCAGAATTTAATTCTAATTGGGCAGTTTACTACATATTTCATGACCACAAATACCCGTGGTATTTGGTATTAATACTTTCATTATTTTATCAATATGAAAATAGGAATCAATATTTTATAATATCGGTCAGTTCACCACACATTTTATGTCCACAGATTGTCGATACAACCATGAGTTACGTTGAACAGAATTAAATTAATACGGCATGACATTTTAATAAATGCTGTTACCAGTCATGGATTGGATTATTTTGCGCAACAAAAATCATCTTGGTAAAGGATCGATACTTTTAACTATCGTTATCAAAATTATTTGCCAGAAATTATTTTCTAATAAATCGACTTTTTTTTCCAACTTGTGACAATTTATTTGATACGTAACAATTACGGCTATAAATACCGTATTTCCCGGCTAATAAGTCCACATGGCAAATAGGACGATGTCTATTTTTAGCACTCAAAAAGGGGGTTTTCATATAGGCCTCCAATAAGACGGGTAAAAAAATTGTGTCCCTGTTGTTCAGTTATGCTAATATGCGCTAATAATTTTATATGTTTAGAACCAGATCATTTAACTATATTTAACAATTGAGCGGTAAATTTGTGTTGTAAAGCGGCAACCATTTTGGACAACTTATTACCCGAATGTTGAAATAATTTTGAAATGTGATAAGTACTACACTGTACGTCCACGGGTTATTTCACAGCTGTGTTTTCCTGTCCCTGTCGTGTTCTGCTGAATCGGCAAAAACGAAAGGGTCACAAATCACTTTATCTCGGTGGCCGTGTTTCTCTTTAAAGTAACGATTAAAGCCTGCGATTAAATATCATGATTGGCAGGCCCTAAGACCCAAATATAAGGTTACACGAATCATGTTTGAGAAGACTCATGCGAATAAAAAGCAGGCCACATCGAAATAAAATAAACATACTTTCTCAATTAGACGCCCCCACCCTGCCTAGAAAAGCGACTCATTAGACGAATTTTGACGTAATGGAAATGAATTTGTAAATTAAAAGCCTTGTAGACGAATATCGCAATGTTCACCTGCGCAAACGTGCAAATATGTCGCAACACTATGCGACGTACGTCGCACAGAATATAAACAATCAAATGCCGATTCTATTTCATCGTCATTACAATACGTGAGACAGCGTAAAAAGTCGTTTGAATATTCCGTAAAACGAAACACCACGTTTACGGCGAAAAGTGGCTACTATTCGGAATTATTCGAAAATCAGCCGAAAAGGTATTCGAATACTTTGATATTCGAATACATTCGAATATTCGATTCGTTTTGGACAACCCTGACTACAATCTATAGTGCGCCATCTTTCGGCAAAACCGATTTTCTCAGATATATATGACCTTACCGGCACTGATGTGAATTGCTGCAGGTACGGGGCTTGCATTTTGATTTGAAGCATTTGAAGGGTCGTATAACAGATTTCCGTGTCTGTCGCATAGGCTAGTCTCTTGACATTCGTGTCCATATGTTTGAGCATTGCTCGTTTTTGGAATTAAGAACGATGTTGTTTTAAATCATTGTACACGAAATGGACTTATGGAGTAGGAATGAAATATGCATAAATCGTTACGCCACGCCCACTAGAAGTATATGTGGTACTGTACTACCATGGACCCAAATATAGTAGGTTTTCCATAGTTTCAACTTCGCTTGCAAAAGGGTTTTGTGGAAATTGCGAGTAGTATATTTTGTTTTAGCTTTGGTGTCCATATAATTTTTTTTATATCCGAACAATGATGACACGAAGTTTCGTTCTCATGTATATATATATACATATATCTTGAATGAAATCATCAAACACGGATATATGACATTTTGTAAACTCTAGGTATGCCAGTACCATCATAGTTAGTGAGAATGCACCATCACAACATGGCATACATTTCTTTGTTCTTTTATTAGAATCATCTTTTAAATAGAATATGCATAAAACAGGTATTTACTTAAACTATTTTAATAATTTAAACATGAAAGAAATCATAATAGAACGATTAACCTGTATTTTACAGTTTTTAAATTTTAACACTTGGAGTAAACTATTTACGTTTTCAAAACCATATCATAATCCAACTATAAAATAACCAGAAGTGTGTTCCAAAAATATCTTTAATGTAAAGGACGATACGACTATAGTTTATAAGAAACTGGGTATTTGTCTTCCTTTATACGTTCGTGATTCGGATATTACACAATAATACAAATAAACGATAAAGTGAAGAAAAGGGCACAACAAATAAAATAACTGTTTTCATTCTGTTATAATCAGGAAGCAGGAAAAAAGGTGGAAAAACTTGAACAATTTTAAATAATTATAAAAATTGCCAATTATATCTGTAATGAACGATAAAATTTACCATAAAATAAGGAAATCAAGTTTCATGTCGTAACAAAAATTTAAAAGTTGGAATAAAGATCGAATGATTTCAGATATTCCACAATAGCTTGATAGCAGAACTTGTATTGATCCTGAAATAAAATAAAATTGGTATTTATTAACCAAAGTAGTGAGACGTGGTGAATGAAAATAGACTAATGTTTTTGACAGGTAAAATCTCTACATTTTGGAGAAGGCTGTGACAGTGCAGTTATGTACTACAATTGGGTGCCACAAAGAGCCCTCTTCGAAACGAAAGTTCAATGAATAATTCTGTATAAACAAAGCTTCACACATCCAATCTCACGTACTGATTTTTAAATAAACCGATAGGGTTAATACCATTATTTACATATGCATCCAAATTATACAAATACAACAAATTCACGTACATATGCAGCCAATCACACATATATACAACGAACTCACGTATATATGCAGTCAATCATTTATACATATACAACCACTGTCATATCCATACACAGCAAATCAATTTTATATGCATGTATGGTCGTGTGTTTGAAATCGGAGCGTTATTCTTTGTTGAATTAGCGGAGCATCACGGAAATGGCACCGTTAAGATGCTTGTTGTTAGTGTGTGATTGCGCTACATTCAATTCCCAATAATGGTTCATCGTTGTGTATATCTCTAGCCTACCTATGGAAATTAGAATGTGACGTGTATAGTGATAAACTATGTTTGATGGGTTCGTCGCGAGCATGTTTTTGACTCTATATGTATATCACGTTACCAACCCAACCATAATAAATGCAGTATAGTCATTATATGTGCAATTTAGAAAGTCATTCAACTGCAGCATAGTCCGATTTTACGAAGTCTGAAACTTGGAATGCAACGTCACAACGTACTGTGATAAATAAATGACCGACCTCCAGGTCCTACACTTTACGAATAAGAAAAAATAAATGGTAAAAATATTGTGAATATTCTTACCAAATTTTCCACCATGTTTGGTCTCCCATCTCTGAGATCTTTTACAGTTCTGAAAACATCAACTCGATTCTCACATTTCAATCGTTCTATCAGATTCACCGCTGCACAGAAGACCCCGGTCCTGCCGATACCGTCACTAAAATGCAGAAAGATTTGTTTCACTTTTATTGATGATTTCTCTCAACTTATAATATAACTAGACAATATTGTAAGTGGTAGACAGTTGGAATACTAGATCTGCGAAGCCTATATTTGTGACTCCCGTATATATTATGAAAACCACTGTCACTGATATATATATATAGAAGTAGTTACTGATTTTTTAAACACTATAATATTTCAGCTTCGGTTGTGGATACACACTGCATGACATCATGGGTGAAAGCTCAAGTTGTTGCCGATTGAAAGCCCAATTTATATATCATACTACACCAAGGAGTACGCAATATCCGCTCAATTTGTTAAAAGATTTTATGCCAATGAAAGGTGGGAAACCACTGTATATTAGTGCAAACACCGACACATTTAGAGTATCGATACTGAAATATTAAGATATGGCGAAGCTGTTGCAGACACCACAGAACTAAATATCCGGTAGAATGAAGTGATTAGGTTTTAGCAAATAAAGGTTTACACCTGCAGTGTATAAGAGTGACTCCATTTCCAGTTGATCGAATGTTTTTCTGCATCTTATTAACAAGGTCAATTATTTTTCTTCCATCTTCAGGACAACTTGTTGATTTCCATCCGGTGTAATGAAATTGAGTCACGGTTTTCTGAAATAAAACTGAGATTAGTTTTTGAATTTATCAGAATTGCATATCCACTTGCTTAAAGCATTCGAAAGAATTGCCTCGAGAAATAGGCTTAATCAAAGGAATGGAGACCACAGTAAGTAAGTTTGCCGTCATCACCTACATTTTTTTGTACTTTTTGGTATACCTTCCCCCAAACGAGGATAAACTATAAACATTATAAGTAAGCAGCTATCGATTTTAGTCGAGGAATTTACAGCAATTCCGTTCCGCCATCTCCTACCCAGTTCACTGCATTTTGGGTGAGACATGGGAAACTACCTTCGATGCCAAAATAATTAGGGCTAACGCTTTAAACACCAGGAATGCCATCGCGCCGTTGAGGATTAAAATTTCATAATAATATGGGATATTATTGTCCTTGAATATTAACTAGCGTAGACTATTAGCAATATTAATTTGACCCGACTTATCAGCCACTTTTATCACAAAATTCTATGGAGAGTTATAGCAATGACCCACCGATTGAGGCCCTCTGTCCACTCGAAGCTTTCTCTCCGTTATCGAACCTTCCGTTTCATCACTGACTCTGATCACAGATAAGTTATTCCATTTCATAACTTCACCAACATTAGTAGGCCAGTACTGAGCACATTGTTCCTGAAATTATACCAGCAATTACCTAATGCAGTCCTGAAATAGCTGATTTAAACGTTGAGCAGTAAAATTGAATGGATATGCAGTATTATGTGGCAACCGGCATACATATATATTATTGGTTTTTGACAAAATCAAGGCTCGAGATTTACATTTGATCCTGTCTATAGTTCCAAACTTCGAGAAAATGAGCTTCCGACTACGGCGAATCTAGGATTTCAACTCTGAATAAAGAATCCCGGAGTTTGAAAATACTTCTCCGACACCAGTGGAAGCATGCCTAGCTTTGACTGCGACTCTTCAGCCGTGAAAAAAATTAATATTCACCAAACCTCTTTTTCTTCTTTGAGTTTGGTCAACATAACGATTGTATTGACGTTGTTATCTAAAACCGATCTCCAGAATAAATCAATGTTTGATGAAGTTGAACCTTGAGATGCGATCATTGGACTTGATTCATCATAGCTCTGCATAAAAAAATGTAAGGTGAAATGTAAGATATCGTTTTTACTTAGTTTGTCAGGAATAATTTGATGGAAACACAAGAGGGGAATACAATTAGATAAAATGGGGTACTTCGTGAATATTTCAGCCAGAACGTAGATATTTGGATGCGATTGGTCGACACCCTCTATCGTTGTATATAAATAGACGGACATTTCCATATTCAATTTCACAGTGATGAATCATTAGTTTTTTACATTAAGCTTTGTATCCTACCTCTACCCACGAAGCATTGATATAGGGTTTCTCATCTTCGCCTCTTTGTTTGAATATGTTTACCAGTGTGTAGTCATCTAAAAGAATTTGCAGGGTTAAAATATTTTGGCTTTAATGTGTGTTATTTTTTAAACTTGACTTAATAGAAATAGGCATGTCGGTGGTACTTTGGGTACATCTGACAGAGTTTCGCCATTTTTATGCAGTCTAACAGAGTTTTAGCGCATGATGACCATTGTAAACGAAATGATATAGACGATAAAGTTAAGAAAAAGAAACCGTCAATCTATACGTTTTATGAGATGTGACCACAAGGTTCTGAAAACTGAAAAATAGGTACTTGTAATATATAGCCTACGCGAAATAGTGCTAAATTTCAGATTCGCACCACTCAAGTGGTTATTACAACGTCATAAAATTTGGTCCAAGACATTTAGTCTTCGACGCTAACATAATTGGTTCCAACATACTGCAATTAACTTTATCAAGCGCATAGTCACCCAAAAAAAAGGACATTGTGGTTTACACAGATCATACAATCTTTTGATTTACACAACCCACATGGAATAGATTTCTTTGATCTGTTCATCTTCTTGTTGTTTCCATCGAGCCCGAGCAATTTTGTGTCTTTCATTGGTCCAATTCGATTTAAATCTTCAAATTCTTTCTTTAATGAAGCTTCGCCCACATGCGTTCTAAAATATGAATTTATTCTGTTATTGTGATAATTGAAGCATGTTCTCAACAATAGTTATTTCCGAGTCAAACTGAAAAGGGAAAAAAGGTACAAAAACTGTAATACCGGAGACTAGTGTAGTTTAGTACCACAAGTACTTGCAGTGGGCGTGGTGTAACAATTTTTGAATATGTCTTTCCCGAAACCCTACCCCACTATGTCATCCAAAATTACTTCACTGTGACCCTAATACTGTACAGTTTAGTTTGGCATTAAAACACAAGTACAAAATGAATTAATTCCCTAATACGTATGCACGTGTAAACACTTAAGCAAACCGTGAAACGTAGTGGATATACATTGGGGACGAATATAAACTAAAGTTTTTTTTTTCTTACTTTATCTTTTCCAATTTAGCTTTTGCTTCATCAGAAGATAAATCTCTGTCTTCAAGCAATAGGACTTCTAGAACGAGCTTGTGAACGAGAACGTATTGATCCTAAATAAAAAACAATATTAAACGTCTGATCCAATTGCTGAATATTAATTTTTTAGGGTGTTCTATAGATAGATTGGCATAAAACAGAAGTAATAGCTCACCGAATTCTGCACCATTTCCACTCTCTGTTTTCTCATGTTGAGAACGCAAGCAAAGGCGTCAACAGATCCTGCAAACTTGCTTTCATCAAGCAGAATATCAAAACCAATCAACGTCCCTGTTCGACCTGCACCGGCGCTAGATAGGCAAGTACACGAAATTGGTAAATATTTTTCTATAGACTTTTTTATGTAGGATTCGTCATAGATCATACATTATTGATAGAATGTAAATTTGATTCTATATCAATCTCTATCCAAAAGGGAAAATTTAAAGACCGAGTATTTTTGAAAACTAGCAGAAACTGCCCACAGACAATTTACTAGTACAATTACGAATATAAAGCATTTGCTTATTCAACGATTATGTTGGTGCCATTTGCGGACAAAGCTATTTTGAACATTTTCTTTTATATTTCTTCTATACTAACTTAGAGAGAATGAGGTTTGTGCATATTTTTTAAAGTACTAATGCAATACCTGCAATGCACCACTATCGGGGATCCTCTTCCGATTTCTTCATAACTCTTCATCACTGCCCTATGCATTCGCAATAAATCTGAAGTGGTTGCCGGTGCACCATGGTCAGGCCATTTCAAGAATTGGTACTGGTAAACTTTATCATCACATCAAGATCCTAAAATAAGGTATTTGATTAAATACCTATACACATTAAATTTTCTATTAGTGGAATTCAGTGATGTGAGTATGATTTCAATTGCGATATAGTAACACTTGTATCAGTGCTTAAAGGCTGTATAAGTACATGTCTGATGAAAATAATTTTAACGATAGCGAATTTAATTATCTGCATGTTCACTTTTGGATCCAAAGTTCAAGATTTGTTGTAAACGGGATTGTGATCCTAAAAATTGAAAAAAGTAACTACACAGTAAATATAATGAATTTATATTAAAACCAAAACTAGTTTTAATGTTAATTTGCTGACAAAAATCATCATAATTGAGTATAAAACTATTTAACATAAACACACACGCTTTCTTACCTCTCTGAGAGACTTGACAGTAAACTTCGCCTCACAACGAGCCGTAGTTGACTTCTTGACGTTTTTTCACTTGCACGGAATCAAAACTTCTGACTTTTGTTCTCATCAGGCCAATATTTTTCACATTTTTTCTGCAAATAAAGCATTATTCAGTAGTGATCACAAAGTTTAATTTATTATTCTTGGGTCAATAAGCCTTTTTGTATCTCACTATCGTATCGACATATTGCATTGCATACTTTCATAGATACTTAGGGTGTTTTGAAATATTTTTGATTACAATGCGTAATCACTATCACTAAATAACAGTTTAGGATCTAAATATTGAGCCCTCTACAAACTTTAGTCAACAGTTTAGTGAGTTCAGTTTTAGCAAAATAGTTAAAGACAGATAACCTTCCCGGCCTCCATTTCCTTTGTCAACATCACGATCAAATAGCATTTATGCTCAATTATCATCTGCCAAAAATCATCAACAGTCGTTGCAAGAGGTCCCTGCGTTGCGATGTATTTACGTCGCTTGTTGTGACCCTTTATATAAAATAGAACATGAACGTCACGTCTCGTTAAATATGAAAACTCAAAAATGAAGAAAGAGTCGACTTTCTTCCTGGAGATATATTGATATGTCAAGCATTATTTGTTCAAATTTAATTCGATAGGTTTTCAAATAAATTTGGTCCAACGTTAAATTTTTGTCAGTTGTTTCTAAATTTTTTATTCTTACAAAATATTCGAATACCAAATAATGTTATTTATATTTATCGTCATGCTACGCTTTGTATTATACTTACATCAATATAACAGGCATTTATATATCCCGATTCTTCTGGAGATTATTTTCACTCGAGTTTCGTCAACTGATAGAAGGAAGAATTGTTTTTAATGTTTAAAGTAAATTTGGACTTAAATGATGTCATTGAAAGCTCGTCAACCATCGAATATGTCAAGAATATATAGCTGGACTTTGGTTATTTGTTAATCTTGTCACTCAAAATTTCCCCTTGTCGTTTTATTTTAACATACTTTATTACTGAATGAGGAACATGCATGGCGGATCTTTAACCAGTAAAAATTTCGAAGCAATCGGTCCAGTAATGAAAGAGAAAATCGGTGTTTTACATTTTCCACTATATGTCCAAAAAGTGTCAAAGAATAACAACAAGATCAACATAATATTGAAACGATCGTTATGTCCACTACGTGTCCAACAACATAATATTGAAAACGATCGTTATGTCCACTAAACGTGTCCAATAATATGACAAAATACGGAGACAAATACTTGAATTTACTACTAAAGTTTTATTAAACAACTCACATGGAAGAATATTTCTGTATCTGTTTTTTTTCTTCAAATCTGGATTAGAAGCAAATTTTTTAGGCCCTCCGAGTTTGGTGGATTCTAGAAGAATTTTCTGAAAAGCAGATCGAAATGCTGATAGTTGTAATAATCAGGGAGGAAATGTATAGCAATTCAAGTTATGAATGCATCTGAAATACTGACTGTGAACAGTTTAAGACTATTTACTGTTTTGAAACACCTTTGATAGGAATGAACATAATAGCGGTGGCATTTGCAAAAAGGTTTACACCTAACCACTCAAGTCGCTAAAGAGCAAGTGTGATTTTGGTAATTTCTGGGATTCACCCTGGTATAGTAGACTGTATTTATGATGTTTCGCTCATTACATTGTTCCCGAGTATACAGAATTGTTTAAATAGCTCGAATTGAGCGTTTAAGTGAAGCCATAGTATAGGCATAGTCTACCAGCTAGATCTCCATCTCCAAATAGCATACATTTGTGTTGCATTGTTACGTCATGAACAAATTTGTTCGGAGTTGATCTTCGTTAAGAAAGGGAAGTTACGTGACTAGAGCCAAAGTTTACTAAAGATAGATAATAAATAGAGATCATATTAAAAAATGATAAGACCAAAGAATGAAAGTGGAATTCCCCACTTCAAATGAATTACGAGCGAGTGCTCTTCCGTTCATTAGTCTGGGAAATTTTGTTCGATTCATCTTTTATTTTGGTATGATACGCTGTTCTGGGCACAGAGATTTACTGAATTGATTCTAATTTGATTTTTGATTTTATGAAACTTTTGTCTATATTAATTACATTTTTAATCAACAAAAGTTTACGTCGATATAAACTGACTAATGATATTGGATATACTGGACTGGACTACTGTGACTAGACGATTAACAAAACAGCTATTGTCATACCTTTGTTTAATAATACTAAATAACAACGTTGCCAGCCTTCGAGTTTAAATATTTAATATTCAAAATATAAATTATAAAAACCTGAAATTGATCAAAAAACTGCGAGTTTTCTTTTTTTCTCATTGAATTATAAACCTCTTCCAAATCAGAAGTGCTGATAGAAGTATCGGAGGAATTTGATGCCGGACGGTTTGCCGACACATTCGCGTAGGCACTGGAGTCTGTAAATGATTGTTGAATTATAGTTGAGATTACAATTGTTTCAATTTGTCTAGTCTATCCTGGATTACATAACCCTGGCCTAAGATGTACTAAGTGTCACTTCAAAATTATTTTTTTGGGTACTCCTGTAGTATACGATCCAAGATAACGAACACCGGAATGTAGTATGTGTGTTAGATTTAGGCCGTAATCAAATTCCAATTTTTCTTATTTTAGTTCTATGGACTAGCCAAGTGGCTCCCGTAGTATTTGTACCTTAAATTATGGCCTAACCCTAATCGGTTTGCATCTACAGAAGTACCATATTTTTGCTATTCAATTCTAATTCCCATATATGTGGTTGAGGAAAATCGTGTTAGTCCGGACCAGTGAACTATTATGATCATTCATAAATTATCAAATGTTCTATATTTTACGCCTACTGATATTTTACAATATTAGAAATTGCTAATCCACCTTCCTCTGCATTCACCGGCGTGTTAGGCGCGATAGGCTTGCTCTCTTTCGTTTGCATTTGTGAACTTGATTTTCTGTAATATGACAAATACATCAGGTTCAAACTCCACTAGCCTAAAATTAATTTAGTACCTTTGGAAACTGTACTTCCCATGAAAATTGGAACAAAGTCTTCGGTATGTGAAACCATTAATTTATGAGACATATAACTGCTGGTACTACATGCTTCGTTGCAATCGAAAGGAGAATTTTTTCCTACCTAATTTCGAATTTGCATATACAAATAAAGAGTTTGTCAAGGATTCTGCGCAAAGGAACTGTGTGTGAAGTGTGCGTCCGATACCATGTAGTTAATACTTGCTAATACTGAATTTCAGTCTTGGCGACATATAAAAGTTTAAAATTTGACAAACATTGCCTTTATCATTAATACCCTTTTCAGACTTTTGGATGTTTTGAAAATAAAATTTAATAAATTCGAATCACTGGGCTATAAAAATATTCAATCAATTACTCACGGGAATGATATGGTATTTTCTTTTATCCCATTGAACGACATTTTAGTATAACCATCAGTTGCTTCTTCTTCGTTTTGAAATTTTCTGTTGTAAAAGAAAAAATGTATGACTTCCAGACCGCTCAGAACCAAGTCGTACGAAGCATAAACCAGTCCAAAATAATGATAGTAATAATGACTAAAAGGCTGAACTCTAAAAAGTGGATAAAATTTCTTTTCTAGTGAGGTGGTGTTAAAGTTACTAAAATGGCTGAAACAGCTGAAAAACAAAAGGTAATAATCTTTTCTGTAGATAGGTGCTTAAAGGTGAAACTCCGTATTTAAGCCTTTATGCTGTCCGTTATTGACAGCATGAATTTTGTCGCTTTGTGATTCTATTATTTTAGAATTTCTGATGCGTTGAAAAATATTTTCAATTTAATTTACGTTATTATGCGGGTGAAATCAATACGAAAAACTTACGAGGTTGATGGGGGCATTTTCTTCTGTAGCCCTAACTGCAATTTCCGCATAACCACCGGTTGCTGGTTCTTCATTTTGAAGTTTCCTACAGCAAAATCAAATGACGTAATAGCTGATTCATTCACCAGCACAATGATTCAATAACGTCTCTGTTTGTCCGCAAAGATGGATAATAAATTGATTGTGCATAATGATATTGAATGTCATTAGAAAAAATTCCAACTGTGATATGAGACTACAACCTCGCTACGTCTTAAACGACTCGTCTAATTTTCTACCACACACCTTTAATTTACAAAAAGACATCTGAACAGAAATCATGCATGGCAGGAAATTATTCTCGTAAGAATAATTAATGATTTGCTGTAGGCCTATGAGAAAGCTGCACAATACTCACGAAGCTGAGTCCGCGTTACCGTTACTTGGTCTCGTTGTAGTAACTTCGTTCATTGAAATAATTTTGCTTGTTCCACTTTTCGTATTGCTAAAATGACAGTATGTAGTTGGTGTTACAGATTTGTATAATCGGCTATGGAAATACAGACCTATTTCTTCTCAATTTTGTAACTTTCACTTTGAAGTTACAAAATATTCAAGAAGTACACACAAATTTAATATCATTATATGAAGTCTTAACATTAGTTTGAAATAAGTTCAGACAAATACTTTTATCCCTTATTGAGTAAGTCCGTATTGTAACTAAGAGCTCACCGTCGTTTGATTACAACAATCACAATCACCACAGCAATCAATAAGCAAGCTCCGGCCACAATCATTGCAATTATCCATGATTGCAAACCATTTGTATTGCCTTAAGAAACATGTTTAAACATTTTATGTACGACTCGATAGACAATAATTGGTTACAAAATGTGGCAACGCGTTTCATTAATGTTATTGCAACAAATTATTTTTAGGAGTTCTAGATTGGCAACGTGTCTATATGGCTACCAATTTTTCATTGCAGGAACTGCCCGAAAAGTAAATTTGATTTGGCTTTTTCAGCAAGATTTTTCACAATTATAATTTTATCTTACATGTTCTGATGTTCATGTACTAAATCGAAACTTTCTACAAGTCTACCGCAACTGAGATATATTCGTATTTAATTATCTGTTCAATGCTATATTAGAAAAAAATATAAAAAATAACTCACTTAGCTGTGTTGGCTTACTCGTTTGGATGCAAATATCATTCCCACAAGGCGTTGTTGAAACAACAAACACACTGTAGAAAAAGGGAAACATTAAGCAAGATAGTTTGATTACGAACATCCTTTATTTTCGGCGTACACCTCTTCTTTATTGAAAAAAAAAACGGTAAAATAAGGAAATAAACGCCCCTGTAAAGTAGCTTTGTAGGGAGCATCGTTTGATTATGTATATCTTGTACTTTCGGTTGTCTCTTTTGCTTTCCCAAACATTCTCCAAGCGACCGTTGTGTTATTGACAAAAACTACTTTACCTGTAAGATTTTACTTTGTCTAATTTTCGATTTTTTCCGGTAAGCAATGTATTTTCTGTTACACTTCTCCGTCGCCTTCTTTTATTGTACATGGCTTCAAGTGTTTGAGAGACGTTACATAAAGATTCTGTTTCATTGCCAAGCTTGATAACTGCTTTATCACCAGTGAATCTACGACGTGGATGGTGAAAAGAAAAAGAAATATCCGTATCATAGCGTGAGGTAATTAATCGAAAGTTTCGTCTGTTATAGATATAGTTCTGTAATCGACGCAAGTACTGTGAAAGCAGTTTTCTTCACTGAGAGCAAAAATTTCCAACAAGTTAGTAGTCCAAGAAGCGAAATGTAACGCCACCAGGTCAAACCAACCCTATTGTTTTCAAATCACTAAGTAAATAACTCATTTTTCATTTCTAAACATTTCAATTTGTGAATCATGAGGAAATTCAATCAAAAATAAATGCACATGGTTAGCTGACTCAATTAAGCAGGCAACTGCTTCCATATTCTTTGTCAGAGTTTCCTGGAAATCATAAACGATATTTTTACGGCGTACTTGAAAACTGGCAAAGCTACAGCGATGTATTCTGTGGTTGAGCTCAGTGCCGTAATCAAATTCTCCATGCTGAAATTGTTATTCCCGTCAGACGACCCATCTTTCACGATGATGAATAAACAGCTAAATGGAATGAAAATATTTACAAAATAAACAAGGATGCAATATAAAAATATACTGACACGAAGGTCAAGTGACTCATAATATCCCCGCAATGCCAGAAAAATTTCAGCCAAATGTTTGAATACGGCTTCTTCCATCAATAATTTTTAAATATTTGTAATTGCTTGGTCCATTATTGTGGCAAAAACCGCCTTCGTGTTATATAACAAGTGAATACTACCAAGCTAAAATGATACAGAAATTGACAAGGTTGTTGAATTTGACAGCGTCTTTCAAAGTGACATGTCGGAATAATTTACAACTATATTTATTTGTAATTTTTTTTAATATAGTGCAATGTCCCAGTTGTCTTCTCACAATACAAACCTCAGTAAACCGTTGCTTTCATCGGGTTTAGTCACGGTTATTTTGCGAATCCCGTTACTGTCGGTGGCGTCATCAGAAACCATTGGTTTCGCAATTTTATTCGGAGCTGTTGGAGAAATAAATAAAATGAATTTCACTTAAATAAGTTATAAATATGTATATATGCTGTGTATATATACAGCTATATATATACGCTGCTACGAACGTTTAGCTTTGACATTGACGGTGCTTGTGATTTTCGACGGTTTTCAATGTTTGGGATACTTAAGTCATCAAAATAGGAAAAGGGGACTAAAACTCAGGTTTTAATATAATACAATAGACACAATATTTGGCAGATCTACATAAAATGGTACAACGAACATACTTTTATTTGTTTGTGAATAACTGGCCAGTGGTGACGTGTACGCAGGGGCGTATCTACATAAAATTGCGCTCATGGCAACATTTGAAAATGCGCGCCCCTTGATAGTTAGTTCACAATTTATAATGACACTCATGTGAATGAGTGAATTGTACGGTATTATTTGAGTAAAACTACGAGTTTGAGTGATTACCAATTCGGAATTATTTTATTGAAACATTTAACGATTAAAACTTTTCGCCTTTTTTGCGCCCGTGTCCAAACGGCGCCCATGGCACGAGCCATGTCTGCCACACCCTAGATACGCCATTGCGTGTACGCATGTCAACTATGTCATTTTTAAGGCAGAATTTTTTTTTTTTATTCAAATGACCATTTACAAAACTGGGTCTTATTATGACTATAATTCTGAATGTTTTCTTCACCACAAAGATCATGTATGAGTGGCAGTTGTCCCATGACGGTTTGTAAAAAAATATTATCTGAACCTTTGAACCGACAATAAACTGCGGCGCAATAACATTGATCTTTCACATTGAAATAATTAAAGTCGAAAGTGCGTAAAATTACAATTATCAAATCAAACAGTGCTTAATAGTTCGAGCACATATGGTTTGAATTCGGCGCAAAACTTGTATATTTTGAATATTTCTTTCCCCTTTCTATCGCAAAGTGGACTTGGAGAGATGAGTCTAGCTTTATAAATATTTGGCATTGAATTTAATCCAGTTGGATATATTCCAATTCATAATTAATTTCCGGCTCAAACAGGAGAAAACAACGAGACATGTACTGACTGCTACATGTACTTTTGTCTACCACCTCTTACCACCCAAAGTGCAAGATGCAAACGGATAAACGAAGAATAAACTATCACATAGCATTAATATTGAAACGAAATAGCAATCAAATCCATTTTGACCGTCGCAAGCAAAGATTTCAATAGAATTGTATACATCACATTATTTTGGTACTTTCCTGAGGAATTTTATTAGAGTTTATCATAGCGAATTAGAGGTTCATTTGCATTGGAAAAAAAATAGCGCCAAAATATATATATATGCACCATAATTCAAATTCTTGTCGACGAAAATCCTCTGTTTATCTTACCAACAATTGCCCATTAATATCAATAAAGTAAGGTGAAGTCATATCCTAACTCTTATTTGTGTAACAGTAACACGATAGTGCCTTTATTTGTATAATTTACTAACGAAGAATTCCGTGTGAAAAGGCGAATTGAGCTATTGTGGTGTTCATCGATGCGCGTGCGTCTATGTCCCGAATTTGATTATGATTTGCTTATTAGTAACTACATCGATACATAAGTAAACTTTACATTTTTGAGGGAGTTACTCCTACTTATTTCTTGAATATTGTGCTTAACTGATAAGTTATACAAAAAACCTGCTGGCTTTCCAATACAGTGTCCACTTGCATTCACTGCCTCGCTCAATCCTGCACATCCGATAACCTGTATTGTTATAGTGCAGTTGCTGTTGGGTACCGGAGTAAAAGTTTGAGGAATCGACATCATCCTGTCGAATGAGTCTGTATGACGAGATGTTATTTTCGATCTTGTTGCAATTGTAGTGCAATGTCTCGTGATCTAGAAAATAAATGGATGAATAAAATATATATTTCGATAATCTGTAACATGTGAACCTTCATTGGTCAGGTATATAGTCCAGTTTCCATTGAGTGTGAACCGCTGCGTTTTTGGACTCGTGGCGTTAAACCAGATGAGAATATGTCTTAGTTTTTATCTGAGGTAATCCATCGCATTATAACGTTTTGATGCACGAAGCGTAAAGCGTTTATATATTTTGCTATATCAACTTTAATAGGATTTATTCTCATCCTAATTCTATAATCAAAGAGTCATGAAAAACAGCATTGGTATGTTTTTCAAAACGAGTTTATCCGGACTAATTGCACTTCTTTGATTAGTACGAAGAGGAACAAACGGTAATGATAAACGCCCGGCGAATGTACATAGATATTAGGGCTATACGCAATCTCCGAGTTCAAAGAGTTAATAATAATTGGAAAAATCCTATAGTATTTCATGTAATCCAAGTTTGAAAGTAGACCGTACGTACGGTCTTGCCTGAGTGGTAATTTCTGTATTGATCAAGTTTTTACGCCACTTACTTTCAAACCTTCGACGTTTTCGGGTTGATTAAAATTTTTCCAAATCCATTGCATAGAACAGTTGGTCGATAGAGATGCAGATTCCACAGGTTCGGTTTTTCCATTTGTTGTTGCAGTTGCGTTGGCTGAATATGCAGAGCTGCATTCATGGTCTGTCTCGCAGACGACGATCTGGACATATTAGTATGAGCGAGAATTTGTGGGTAGGATTTTGAAAATGGCCTCTCATAATAACTCGGAACTTGCAATATTTTCCACATTAACATGATCGGTGTGTGTGTATATACGCGTATCTTTGTAAAAATTTGAATTTGTCACTTGTCAGTTTCAGACTATATGTGAAAAAATGCGACATAATTTTGCGCTCCCAAAGTTGTGTGCAGTGAGATATATATAATCAAGCCGGTAGGCGCCCAGTTGGATCTCCGCCATTGCTTGGGGCCCGCATCATTTCAGTTTACTAACGGATAATAGGAGACACTACTAAAAACGCCAGTTCATATTTAAC